TGCATATTCAGGCAACTGAACGTGTGAATTCGGGCTACAAAATCCAAATTTGTAAGTTTGAGCATCATGTGCGGGATGATGCGTAAAATCCCACGAGGTGCATCCCTAATTTTCACTCATCAAGTTTTTTAATAATAACTAATGTCATACACTGTGATCAATTAAAAAAATTTGATTATTTATAAACTATTAAATGCGACAATTAAGTGTCATACATTTTAGCCATAGTCCCATCACTGTATCCGTTGTTAAAATTATTGTTAAAATCACTAACCTGTCCGATATAATGGTGGTTTGCAAAAAGGTATGATCTCTGCAACCATGATACAAAAAACTCGGATTCGGTCGATTTTTTTGTATTTTCAACAATCTTAAATTTGAGTAAATAATCTTTTTCTATTATCATCACGAAAATGACAAGCAGAGAGAGACGAAAAGTTAAGGTAATGAATCGGTAGGGTTAACGTTAGTGTTAAATTAAGACATAGTATATACCAAAATTTGACAAGAAATCTTTATTATGATGTGAAAGGCAGTTCATTATAGGCAATATTTTAGCTACAAACGATTTTCAAAGAAGTTCATAATTTCAATTTATAAAAAGTAATCTTAATTTTTTTTCATATACTTTAGTATAGTATTTTAGTGATTCTTTTTTTAGTCCTTTTTTAGAACCCTATCAAAAACGATATTAAATGCCACCTATCAAAAAAGTATCGACAATCCATCAAGATTTGTATTTTTGCTACTGTAAAGTGCTATAATTGGTTGGCTGTACAGAATTTATCTGAGTGTTCTTGAGTAGTTTACTATAGATGGATATTGCGTGTAAAAAATAATAATTTTTATTGGACGATTTGAATTGGAATTTGACCAATTGGAACTTAGTCCAATCCCGTCAGTATGCTATTAGAATTGGACCATTCTAATTAAACGCTGAATACTGAACAACGATTTCCAAACCCTGGGACAGTTGGAATTTTTACCTAATTTGGGTTCGTGAACTGAAATTTTTGTAATAAATTAAAATCTTGCACTTTCTTTTAGTGATTTGAACCAGATGTGTGTTACCCGGGTTACCCGCGGGTGGGTGGGTGTCACCCGTTGACTAACCTACGGGTAACCCGTGGATTTGTGTACGTATACTGTCAGGATGTTTCGGAATGGTAGACAATCAGCGAACATAAAAGACGAGCAAGGTAGTCGTGAAATTTCGGAATAGATTTTTGACTTAACCCATCCATTTACATAAATGATATATGGTCTACCGGTTGGGTGACCCGGTTGGGTGACCCGGTTGGGATTTCTAGTTAACCCGGTTTCTCCTGAGTGATATACGGCACACCCGTCAGGTGACTCGGGTGGTTAGTAATAGTAAATTATTACGTAAATACGTTACGTAATGGTTTATGGAACTTTCGCACGTACATACATATTTTTGCAGAGTTAAAGCTATGAATTCATTTTGCGAAATGATTTTCTTACTTGTTTTACGCTTATGGAAAAACTGTATAAAGGTTTGCTAGATTTTCTTTTCAGTTCGATAATTTTTCTCACAGTTGTATTCTACTCTATATCGCTCTTTATATTGTAATAACGATTACTAAAATTAATGCATACGTTCTGAGCCAAGCTTTCCCTATCGTAACACCACTCTACAAATAAAGGGATGGTGCAATCCCTTAATATGTCAATATCCGATTTCTTCTAATCAGTGATACATGCATATGCTCTGATTAAGTTACACGCAATTATTGATTCAGTAAAAGAATTTGTGAATCTACCAAATTCCAAATTATCGGGTTTGAATTACATCCTTAATGTCAGGCGTAAGTTGATGTGGTAGCCCAAAGTTACTGTATTATTGTCCGAAAGACATTTTTCCGAAAGGACATGCTCCCGACTTAAATCAACCAACATTATAGCAAATGGCTAGCTTTGTTGGGATTATGCTCATTCGGGAAAATGGCGTTTGGGAACTTGAGTTACAATATTTAATAATATACGATTGATCGTGTGGGAAAAATAAAAATGTGAAAACTCATTAGGATAAAAAAACATCTTGTAATCGTCCATTAATAGCAATCAATTGATTTAGAATAGGTGTCACCTATGCCGCAAGAATTCAGTTAAAACTAATCTCTGATTAGCAATTCTAGCTTTTTCTATGACATTTATTTATTTTCACTCACTTTAAACAAATGTTTTGTTATCCTAATTAGGTCATGAGGCTAATGGCCATACTGATACGCACTTAAACGGGAGTGACCGTACTCCAAATAAGGAAATGATGTTACACGAATGATTAGATCGTTTTTTTATACGTTTTACAATACTTTTTTAGGAACCTTGCGCAACCTATCTTTGCTATGAAAAGTGGTTAAGTATACTAAGCAAACTTGAAGCCTGTATTTTACAAATATCGGTTGAATCCACTTGAATCTAACAACTTTTATATGACACCCTACATAGCAAAGGTATATATGAGGGATATAGTGTTGGAAGCATAAACCGACCAAGTTCAGGAAAAAAGTTGAGAGAAAACGTGAAGTAACGATTCAGCAAAGGTAATGTGAATAGAAATATTAATATTTTTTATTATTGTTATACAAAACTCGTAGAAATCATTAAAAACAAATAAGAACATATAGTTGTATAGCGTTTATATATGTATTAGAATCATAGAATTTTCGTCCAGTATAATAAGTATTATATTGAAAGAGATATATATCGTATTAGATCGTATAAGGTGTTAGATTTTAGATTAGGTTGGATATATGAATGATTATTAGTTTTTATAATTAATACTTCGAATCCAATAACGTAATAAAAACATGATTGCCTATCTTACGACTAGTTTTTATATCTGATTTTAATTTCGCTTTGATTGTTATTATTATTATTTTAATTTTATACTTTTAAAAATTCGTACGGTAATAATGTTGCTAGAATGATACAAATTCCTTAACCAATCATGCCTTCGTCGATCATCATGTGAGTAATGCGAGACCAACTTGATTCTGTGTTTTACATTACCCCTCTCCACTTCAGAAGAAGGGGAGGGGAAGATTTTGTGGTTTACATAGTAAAATTTTAATTTCAACAAAAGAATTTTCCGAACTGTCACGTGACTATGTAAAAATTTTCCGAAATAGTGATATATTTATCTAAATCTTTTTACTATGAGGGAGAGGGGAGGATAATGTAAAACACAGAATCAAATTAGTCTCGCCTAAAGGACCGTCAGCTATTTGATTTTTGTGCAATAAAAAACGATACAGGAACGTTAATACCGACGTTTGTACCAACGTTCATACATATGTTTATACAAACGTTGTGGAAGGGTAAAATGATCCGATTCTGAATAATACAACTTTACACTACTAAAACTAACTTAAACTACTCTAACCAAAACATTATAACTAATACACCAGACCCTAATATTGGTAAGGCAACGATCGAGGCGTGGAAAGACTTGGTCCGAGTAACTAGGGTGAATTGGGTTCTTAGCGATAGTGTCGGATTAGAGCTCTTGATTACGTCACGAATCTCCTTATTCAGAATCACGGGATTTAGTCACGAATTCCTTCCGTTAATTCAGAATTTATTTATCGGGGGAATTAATGGAGACAAGCACTTCTCAATGCTAAACTCCAACTGAGTTTAACACGGATCACAAGTTAAATACTCTAATTTCTTTAACTTGGAACTTCAAACTTTCCAGAGTTTTACACTATTGGGGTGAATCGTAAGTTAAATACTCTGATTTCTTTAACTTAGAGCTTTGAACTCAACCGAGTTATTCTTTATTGAAGGTAAATATCGCTACTTATATCCATTATTTTTCATACTAAGAATCCGTACTTATTTTTCTTATTAATACTATTCTTCTTTTTTACTCTATTTTTCTTATAATGCTTTTCGTAACTATTTACCCTATTTTTCTTTTCGAACCGATTTTTCTTATCGTACCGATTTTTCTTATCGTTCCGATTTTGACGATCGCTCCCATTTTCATACAAATAATACAAAAATAAAATAAACAAAATATAAAAAGTTGAATACTGTGCTACGTCGGATGGTAACACACCGGGGAGGGGAAATTTTGACTGTTACAACGTTCGTACTAACGTTAATACTAAAGTTCGTACTTACGTTAATACTAATGTTCATACTAACGCTAATACTAACATTCGTACTCAAAAGTCAGGTTGGTCATTTTATGATGAATTCAGAAGGAAATTTTCAAGCAAACAGCCTTTTGAGTCAAAATTTTTGGCAAGAAAAAAAAGCAATTATTCAGGTTTTTAAAGCTTTTATTTATTTTACAGTACTTTTATTTTTAAAGTTTTCATTTTTTTATGATATACTTTACAAATTTTTCATTACAATTATTATCTAATTAACGATATATATGAATGTCAATACTGACGTTCGTACTAACGTTAATAACATTAATGCGAAGAAATTAGTGATACGGGTCGATGAAAAAATCCCGGGCCGGGTCGATCCTAAAAAAGCTCGGGCCGGTCGACCGGGCCGACCTTTTTGCTAGCGTAATTTTTTTTCTGATCAAAATCAGTCAACATATCTATATTAAACTTGCAAAAGACCATCAGGTAGTTTCTTGTCGAATTCTTGTGACATTAAACGATTTAATTTTTATTCTTTTTGTCCTTGAGAAAATTTCGGCACGTTAGTATTTTATGTTGATTGATTGTCTATGCCCTCAAACATTTCTGATCCTAATATTATATTTGTTATTTGCCAACTTATCACCTAAATATGTCAACTTATCTTACATTATTATAAACAACTAGCAGATTTTTTATTCAATTTCTAGCCTGAAAGTATGCTTAGAAGAGAAATTATTCTAATACTTCTCTTATCAACCGGCCCGGCTCACAAAGGTGCAGGCTGAGGGTCGACCCGCCCATCGACCGGACCGTTGGGCAGGGTTGACCCGTATCACTAGAAGAAATACCCGAATAAATGACAAAATGCCCAAGGAAGGCGCAAAAGAGTGTCAAAAGAACGACGAAAAAATCACCCCCAAAAACAATAGCAAAAGAAGCACCAAAGGACAACGGATCAAAATACCCCAAAAAATAATTGCGAAAGAAGCACCAAAAAGGATGTTGAAAGGAGCGCCAAAAAAACGACGAAAATGGCACCAAAAAGAGCACCAAAAGAAGGATGAAAAAGGCACCAGAAGGACTATGAAAAAGTTACCAAAAAAAAAACACTAAAAGGACGACAAAAAACTTAAAAACGCGATTAAATGAAGCTCAAGAAAAACGTACTAAAAAGAATCAGTAATGTTAACGAATAAATCATACATACAAATCACGCAATCGCGCGTATTATAAAGGTCAAATCGCTGGCGGTCCTCTTACAATCTACCGCACTACTTGAATGTGTGCCAGGTTTGTGGCGCAACAAAAATTCTTTAAAGTCCATTAGTGACTTGCGGGAATTGTGGTAGAGAACGACCCTTACGATTGGTT